AAATGTGTTTATCTTCTGCAGCCCAGAACTGTCCACTGTTTTATCAAAATTCAGAGGTAAGTTTCTGCTCTTCATTTAAATTCATCAAACATAATCTCCTCATTTATTTATCTCATTTTCTTGAAATTCACTTCTAATTGTAATTTTTTTCCCCGTTGCTGTTTTTTGCTCTTCATTGAGACCTGAAACAAAATATGATCCGTTTTAGGGGTGCACCGAAAATCAGCTGGCTGATTTATTGGCAGAGATTTCCTTAATTTCAGGAGATCGGCAAGAGATTAGACAGAAACCTGGAATTGGTGCACCCCTAGTTTGTTCTGATGAATTTTTTTTAACTTCATAAGAGCCTTTACAACCACACTAAGTGCTGTCGGTTGCTCTGACACTCATTAATGAAATTGCGCAACATACATAACAAATTACACGAACCAGTTAGGAACATGTTGGGACTGAAATGGTTCATAAATTACAGTCATGCTGAAACAGTTATGTCGTAACGGCAGGATTAAATAAAGTGTTGTCCAATAAATATTTTTTACCACTCCTACAAATTATAATACTGAATACTAGTTACCATTATTAACTAATGCAGTCATTCATTGATGTTTATCTTCAATAAAATAAATCTCTTTCCAGTGATTATGAGCATCATTAGAAAGAAATATAATGAAGTCATTTGGAAACATTCATTGATTAAGAAAAAAATTTTTTGGGACATTTCCTTGGTTGATGATGTAATCTTTCCTTTGATCTTTACAGACTTCTGGTTTTAAAATGTTGCTTTTCCTTCATCAGAGCTCCTGTCCGTCTTCAGTCCTGGACTCCTCAGCCCCCTCCCAGACAGAAACATTAATGTTCCTCATTTTCATGGGTACAAACATTGAAATTTCCACACTGCTTCTTATCATTTTTCTTTTATTTCATTCCTCTTATGCTTCCTTCACAGCCCACTGATGGAGCAAGCAAACCAAGTGTCTCTTTACCTAAAAAATCAGGTAGAATCTGTTTAAACAAGTATAATCTGGCATAAATGAAGAAAATTGGTACCAAAAAGCACAATCTCTTATAGTTAGTATTATAAAAACAAACGTATGTGAGGAGTCAGTATATTTAGGCCCCATAAAATAAAGGAAAAAAAGAAAGACTTTTATAAAAGCTGTGATCTTTTCTTATTTGACAGGATGTTGATGTGACTGGATGGAAGTTGGTGCTTGTCTTTGTTCAGATGGATCAGTTCTGTCCCTGTGAGCAGCAGCAGCAGGTAAACATGGACAATAAAACCCTTTGTTTCTGACTCCTGCTTCGGTCGTTGGGTTACAGAGTCCAGATTATTTCAGCCTTATCAGCATCCCACTGTCACTCCTGATCTCTCCTTGACACGATCTTATCAGGAGCTGCAGAAAAACGTCTCGCTGACAGAAGTCAGATTACGTCCTGTGACTTATAGTTCATGTTCAGTTTGTCAGAGTCTTTATAAGATCAAATTTCCAAAGTTTTTGCTGAAGAAAAACAAACTATTAAGTACTTTCCAGGTGACTCGTGTGACTCTTTTAAAGGGGTATTGTGTTAAAATGTACTTTTAAATTTTTTGTAATCTTAAAAATGGTGGATGTTCATAATTTCATTGCAAAACACAACTTTGTAATGATTTTTATTTATAGTTTCTTTGCAAAAAATAGCTTAACATCGACTTATGTATGAGAGGATCATGGGAGATTTGCTGCAAACTGAAACACCTCTGGGTTTTTCAGAAAACTTACTTTCTAGATTTAGCGTGGTAACAATCGAGTAAGGTTCAACTGTGTCCTGGGTTGCCATTTTCCATATTATATAATTTTTTACAAGAAAATACAACATTCCTATGAAAGATTATAAACGGCATGAAACATTGTGTTGAAATGGGAGTGTCTGAAACGGTAGGAGGTTCTTCAAAGGGATCCACGATTAGCTGTAACATTAGACTTTATTTGATAAACATATATTTTAACTGTAAAATAAAGACTGTAAAAATACTGTATGATGTTTAGTTTTGTAGATTTTTAAAATATATTTTAACACGGACGGAGACATTTTATTTCCACACAAAGCATTCTGGGTAAATGATGACATGGATAGGTCCATGGTGCGAGGCTGCTAGCGAGCTATATCCACCCTGAAGGTTAATCTTGGACAATATCTGATGATYGACTCTTTTAAATGAAACCAGAGAGCGTTGACAGAGAGGAGAAGGTAGAAATGACTCAGCCTGGAACTGAAAATATGGATGGAGGACAACAGAGCTGCTTCATGGAAGAAGAACCTCAGCTTAGCCTGTTAGCTTTAGCATTAGCCCCAATGCTATCACCATATATATGTATTAGCTCAGCGCTACACATTCTCCTCTCGTCACTGAGGTCCTCCATCCACATGACAGAGAGGGGAACACAAAAATGACTCAGCTGCAACTGAAAATATGGATGGAGGACCTCAGTTTAGCTTGTTTGTCGCGCTAGCACCGAGCTAATACATATAAGGCAGTATAGTGTTGGCGCTAGCGCAACACAATAGTTTATCAAATAAAGTCTAATGTTACGACTAATCGGGGATCCCTCAGATCTTACCAAGTAAAATTTTATTACTCCATTTGCAGAAATTTTTGACTTAATTTGAGTCAAATTTTCAGACTAACAAGACAAATAATCTTACACATTCTGAAAAYAAGATGATTATTCTTACACAATCAGTTCTTGTTTAGTAAATCAGTCTCAAAACAAGATCAAAAAGATTTTTTGGCTGATATAAGATTTTAAAACTTGGTTAGGTGGACAGTTTTTGCAGTGTGCTTGCAGTGTGAACGTCGCCATATGTGACCAGAAAAAAACAACACAATATCCCCATTTAAGACAACTCCTGAAGTTCTGCAAGTTCTGCAGACTGAGATTATTGTGTTTTTTCTTTTTTGTGTGTGTGTTTGTGTGTGTTCCAGGTCCTGCTTCTCATTAGAGGCGTGGTCAAAGAGGTTGATGATGCTTTGAAGGTGTTGCACTCTCAGGTATTTCTCTCAGCTTTTTTCACTCTTTAATGCAAACTTCATTACCAGCGTTCAGACGTTTCTTCCTAACTGATCTGCAGCTGAAACACACCGTTGTCAGTGTTGCATTGTGGGATGGAGAACAGGATGCGTTTCCTAGAAAGTAAGTTGCAGGTTTTCAGAAGAAAGACAGTTTGTTTGCTGTGATTCAGCCCCTTTTTTTAAACTAAGCACGTTAATTTTCTCACTGACAGGACGTGTCCATGTGTCAGCACAAGCAGTGAGGGAGAACTCCGGCTTCAGAGGGCCACATTTACTCAACTTTTGCAGGTTTGTTTGTGATTAGCTTTCACCTGAATCAGTTTGTTCTCTGGGCTGATGCATACAGTACAAAACTGGGAAAACATCGGCCTCAACAGGACCACTGTGGCTCTTTTCACTCCTAACATAAACCAAAGTCTTAGCATTACTGGTGAAAGGTGTATTTCACGTTACTGACCCTAACTTCTTTATGATACTTTGGTTTTTAACTGATTTTCCAGGAGTCTTTGGGTGATCTGATGGTCCAGAAACATTGGTACAACGACAGAGATGATTTCACTGTCACGCTGCAGGACGCTCCATTTATCAGAGACCCCTCATTTGTTGTTGTGAGTTACAAACAACTAATGAGTTTCTTCTGTTTAATTCCTTTTAAAAATATTACCACAATAACAGGGACTCAGAAATATATTATGTCAGCTCAGATGTGTTTTAATCTGCTTCGTTTTTTAAATAAAACAGACTGGAAAGCCTTTGTCTGAGTCCAGAATATCAGAGCACACAGATGAATTGATGATCCAGCTGTGGATGAACCTGGTGAGGCCTCAAATTCAAAGTGAAATCATTTTTCTCAGTCGTGCTTTTCTGCCTCACGAACAGAACTTTCTGTCTTACAGATGCAGCCCCCGGTCAAACAACAGAAAACAGAGAAACATATTTTCACTCTGCTGTGCCCAGATGAGGTAACAGATATTTGCAGATGGTTGGCCAAATTAATATTCTTCTTCACTTTTTCACTCTTCTTTCTTCCTCAACAAGGATCGTCCGTTCCTGAGAACAGAGAGAAACTCTCCCCGGTCTCCCGGCGGCGAGGCCTCTCCTCTGGATCAGGCGGTGAGCATCATCTGAAACCAAACAGGAGCAGAGGCGGCGGCTCGTTCTGATCTTCTCTTTGTGCCTGCTTCACAGATCACAGGCACAGAGATGCCATGTGAGGACCTCGGCCCGTCCGCCTCCACACCCACGTCAGGTGCTCCTTGTTTTAAAAGTTCAGATTTTTCATTTGGAAATAAAAAAAAAAACATTTACAAAACAAATGGAGCTTAGGGTTTTATGAAAGAGGATTAGGGCTGCTGGGAAATAAATAATTTTGACTTTAATCGCAGAATTCTGACTTTATAAAAAAAATCAGAATTAGAAAAAAAACATATTCTGAATCAGACCAAAGGTAAAAAAAAATCCGAATTCTTACTTTAATCTCAAAATTCCAAGATTAAAGACAGAATCTTATGGAAGCCCATTTCCGCCACCCTGATAAAAAAATAAAATAAAACTTGTATCTCATAATTATGAGATATAATTATGAGATAGCTAAGTCATAATTATGAGATAGTATCTCATAATTATGAGATAGCATCTCATAATAATGAGATAGCTATCTCATTATTATGACTTAGTATCTCATAATAAAGTAAAAGTTTTTTTTATCAGGGTGGCGGAAATGGGCTTCCATAGAATCTGACTTTTTTCCCTCAGAATTCTGAGATTAAAGTCAGAATTTCAGAATTTCAACATTTTTACATTCTGTATGATGTGACAGAAATTTTCTTCTTTTTTTTTTTTTTCACCAGTCCATGAACTCAGACCTGGAGATATAAAGGTTGTGGCTGCTGTAGGGGATTCTTTGACTGTGAGTTTTTTTTCCCCTTTTAATTATTTGTAATTATTTAAGCAGACATAAAGACAAATCCTCACGTTGCTGAAACTCTGAGTGTTTTGTTCTGTCAGGCAGGAAATGGCATTGCTTCCAGTCCGAACAACATCCTGGACGTTTTGCAACAGTACAGAGGTTTATCCTGGAGGTGAACAAAAACCTTCGTTCTAATCTTCACGTCTTTTTCAGTTCTATAAAGTCATGTTGATTGTAAAACGTAATTTTAAATGTGCTTTTTGTAGTGTTGGTGGAGATAAAAACCTCACAAGTGTCACCACTCTGCCCAGTGAGTCTTCCTGTTTACTTAAATAACAAGAGAAAGATTTATTTTTGCAGGGAGCTGTCACTGTTATCATTATGTTTATTTTATTCCAGACATTCTGAAACATTTTAACCACAACCTGACGGGATATTCAGTGGGAACGGGCAATCAGGACTCTCCTCAAGCTTTCCTCAACCAGGCCGTGGCAGGTGCAAAGAGCAGGTGAGTCCTGCTTGCTTTTCAGCATTATTTCAATGGTTTTTATCAAAATTTAACAGTTTTTTAAAATAAATTTAACCATTTTGTGGGTTAAAAATCATGTTGAAGTTCTTCTGGGTGAACTGCACATGAATCTTTTTGTTCATTTTTGTATTTTTGTTCTCAGGGACGTACCCTCACAGGTGCAAACACTCGTAACAAGGATGAAAAATGACCCTGTAAGTCTGTAGGTTGTGAAAAACATGTCAGGAGTAAAAAGAGATGCAGATTAATACTTGTCCTCTTCTTATCCAGAGAATCAACTTCGAATCAGACTGGAAGCTGATCACAGTTTTTATTGGTGGAAATGATGTGTGTGACCACTGCTCTAACTCTGTGAGTAACCCTGAATTCAAAAGTTACATTAAAAGAAACAACTGGGCTCAAAATATGTTTTTCCCTTTAAACAGCTTCTTTACTCTGTACAAAATTATGCCCAAAATGTCCGTAAAAGCCTGGATTACCTTCATAAGCAGGTAAAAATCAACAGAGTGATTATTTGCTTGTTTTACTCTCTGTTTGCTGTAAGTTCTGATTCTTGTCAGGTCCCTCGGGCTCTGGTGAACGTTGTAGAGGTTCTTCACATAACTCCGTTAAGAGAAATGCACTCTGATGAGTCATTAAAATGCCCAACTTGGCTGGTAAAGTGAGTATGTCCTTATTTAAACATTTGGGTTTGAGTTACAGATGTTTTATTTGAACTGATCCAGCCAGTCGTAAAACAATGTTTTTACTTTGCCAGCATCTTGTGTCCTTGTGTTGTTTTGCCAAAGTCCAACTCTGATGCGCTTCAAGGTTTGGAGAACATCAACAGGGGCTATCAGGTAAGACAAACTTATCGCTAAAGAAACTTGTGTTTGTTGGCAGTGGTGTTGATTTATCGTTATCTTTTAGGATGTGCTGCATGAGATTGTAGAGTCGGGTCGGTACGATACCCGGCCAGACTTCACCGTGGTGATTCAACCTTTCTTCAGGGAGATCGTTGTTCCCCGACTGCCGGTCTGTACCGAAAATACACATCAGCTAGCTGGAATGTTTGTGTTTGCAAGTATGGCCATTATTCCCAGGTGTGTTTTTAAGTGGGGGGCCAGTGGGGACCATAGCCACCTCTATAAATTTGCTGATTGTGTTGCTCTTAGCACAATCACTATCAACTGTAAAATAAGAAATCAATTAGGGGGTTCCTATTGCAATTTCTTTGTAAATCCTATAAATGATTTCAGTGAAACGTTCTGATTTTTAGTTTTACTGTCTCCCATACAAAATTAATAAATCTTCATCTGGCCACCAATTTGAAAAATGTCTTGTGAACGTTGTTGGCAAAAGTTGTATCAGCAGGAAAAACAATGTCGATTAAATTTCAAACATTTTAATAATTAACTTTTACCTTTCAAATCATTTGATTGGTTTTACTTGTCAGGATGGCCGTCCTGATCGCTCCTTCTTCAGTGCTGACTGTTTCCACCTCAGTCAGAAAGCTCAGACGCTGATGGCTCGCTCCCTTTGGAACAACATGGTAAATATGACAAACTAACAGTTATTTTATTATTTTTTACAATGGTGTTTTGATCTGATCATAAAGTAAAACATGCTTGTTTTTAATAATAAATATATATTTAAATTGTAATTGACTCATTTTGCTACTCACTGATTGTTAAAGCTGGAACCTCTGGGCCAAAAACACTTCAAACTGGAGTTTAATGTAACAACCAAACTGAAATGTCCAACAAAAGTAAGTTAGTGCAATGATTTTATAACTCACGTGAAAAGACACAATGGCTCTGGTTTGTTGACACATAGCTTGTTACATTTATTACAAAAAAAAGCAACACTTCTTTCTCCCCAGGATTCACCTTTTATTCGGACCTATAATAACAGTAATTACATATATTCCGGTCCTTCTCCAACAACTGCACCTGTCACTGTAAGTTTTTAAAGTCTAAGCACAATTTTAAAACCTAGTCTGGTATTAAAAGTGGTGTACCGCAGGGTTTAGTCCTTGGTACTGAGTAATTTAGACTAGATACGTATGTTCCAATTTCCAAATTCTGCAACAAAATTGTTTTAAATTATTTTTTGTGTTGAAGATGCCAATCAGTTTTTAATGATTTGCTGCATCTTTTCCTTTCAGAACTGGGGAAGTGACTTCTCCTGTAAGAACTTTGCTCCATCTGACCCTCAGCCAAGTTCAGGTGGGACAATAGACTCATATTTGCATTATCAGTTGTGTAAAATTAACTCTTTTAAACACCTTAAATTAAACTGCAATAATTTTTACTTGAAGATGGCAGAGATAGGTGTGTGAGAAAGCTGAAAACACAATATTTAAAGAGTTTAATCTTGCTTCGTGTCTTTTTAAATCATTTTTTCAGTTCATAAGCTGAGACCATCAGACATTCAGGTGGTGGCTGCATTGGGAGACTCTATAACAGTAAGTGTCAGAACACATCACTTGGTAATTATTCTTATGAAAAGCATAAAAGGTAAGTTTTATCACAATGTACAAAACTGAATGTTAAACATTAATCATGAGCTTGGTGCTATATTGGTCTTATTTTATATTTAAATAGAGATTTTGATGTCCCAAACCTGTTCTCTGTTCACAGGCAGGAACCGGGGCCAAATCAAAGAACCTGCTTGAGCTTAAAATAGACTATAAAGGCGTATCATGGAGGTATAAAATATTCACACTTAAACAAAGTTTAAGTTCATAGTTACCAGTTTAAAAGTTATTGTTGTTTTGTAGCATTGGAGCTGATAAAACTCTGGAGACTGTCACAACATTGCCAAGTGAGTGAATCAAAAACCACATGTCTGAATAAAACATTCATTTTTCTCATTCATCAACATGAAGTTCTCGTTTTGTTTTGGCTAATATTTATTATCAGACATTTACTTTCATTATTAACCTTATTGTCTTTTCCTCAGACATCTTGAAGAAGTTTAACCCCTCGCTGAAGGGCTTCTCCCAGGGTCAGGGCCCATTAAGAAAAGGCTTCAACATGGCTGCTGCTGGAGCAAAAACCTCGTACGTTTTTCTGCCTCTGCCTTCAGGCAAACGGGTCTCCTTAAAAGCTCATAAATATCTATCTTTCACAGAGAACTTCCTGCTCAGGTCCGAAATCTCATCAAGACCATGAAAGAAAATAAGGTGCGTTCTTTCAGTTTTCTTTAAAAATCTTTTAATTTCCCAATGATTTCATCTGTTTTAATGATTTGCAACTCAGGAAGTGGATTTTGAAAAGGACTGGAAACTTGTGACAATATTAATTGGGGCAAATGATCTTTGCCATTTCTGTTTAGACCAGGTAAGTTTCATTTGAATAGTATATTGTGCACAAATAATTTTATTGTATATACTATAAGACAGTTTCTCCTTGATGTCTCTTTAGAATAATTTATCACCCAAGAACTATAGTGAGAATCTTATGCTCAGCCTGGACATGCTTTACAAAGAGGTGAGTTACAAAATTTAATGAAGGAAAATATCCACAAGTTGTAATTTTCTGCTTCTTCTCTCTCTATAGGTACCAAGACTGTTGGTAAATGTTGTGGATATTATGCAGATCGATGTGCTGAAAACTGTTAGGAAGAACACACTGAGCTGTTCGCTGCTGCAGAGGTTAGTTTTCAATTAAATCTGTGCTTTACCTGCATCATTTTAAGATCCTAAAACTTGAGAAACATTAACCAAGTTAAAGAAAAATGTCTCAATAAGTCTCATTCTATGGTTAGTTTTATTTCCAATTTCTAAATCAGATTATAGACACAACTATCTTTATTTACAGGACCAGTTGTCCGTGTGTTATCAGCCCAGCAGAAAACTCTCCAGAGTTTGAAGAGATCAAACAAATAAATCACAAGTATCAGGTAAAAGGTTTCTTGAAAATACTATGTTTAATTCGATTAAAGATGTTCTCGTTTTTGCAAGTTTTTTGTTTTTTCCCAGGCTGAGATGGAGTTTCTGGTTTCTGGAGGTCGTTACGATGGAAAAGAAGACTTTGCTGTTGTGCTGCAACCCTTTCTGCACAATTCTTTCATCCCTCGTGTTGGAGTGAGTATGAGGAGCCGTTTGTAAAGTTACACTGCCAAAAATTACCAGCAATATTTAGCTTTATTTAGCCTTTCATAAGAAAAAAAATAGGGGGGGAGGGGCATTTTTCAAAGTAATATTTTTACCTTGATATTCAATGTCATAGTTCCAAACTAAATATTTAATTTCCAAGCTAAATATTTAGTTTACACACTAAATATTTAGCTTGGAGATTAAAAATTTTGTTTGCAAGCTAAATATTTAGACACAACGTAAATATTTAGTTTGTAGCTAAACATTTAATTTGGGCAACATATTTAATTAAATGTTTACTTACAAGGAACTAAATATTTTGTTTGGAGCTAAATATTTAGCTTGTTAAATATTTAACTTGCAAGTTAAATATTTAGTTTATAAACTAAATATTTGGCTAAATAT